CTGTCAGTAATAGAAAGTCATGCATATCATGCTGCTTAATGAAAAAAGGTGTTGCAAAACTTATTCAGAGTGTGGTGGGCTGGAATTTTTTGGCCGTGCGATCTTAGCTGTCAACAGGGAGTGGTGGTCAGTTGCGTGGGGCTTAAATTAACCAGTCTGCAGGGTACTTCAACAACACGCCTCCGAAGTCACCAGCTTGGTGACCCGGGCAGGCCGCAGAATCATTTCTTAATGATTCCTCCAGAGATGGTCTTTGGAAGGGGCTCTTCAGGCAGCCACCGCAGGCAGGGCCCACTCCCAGTTTCGCCTTTGGACTCCACGGATGAGCTAGAGAGCCCCCAGGAGCACAGGCAGGCCGGCGTGCTCACCTCCCGCAGCTGAGAGCATCCCAGGCATCTCGTCTTTGAAACTGTCTTCGGTGACAGAAGCCTGTTCATCAGACTCCCGAGAGCAATTGATCCTCTCGTGTCACTTTGGAGTGCTGTTTGTTGGCTTTTTCCCCACTCTTTAATCATCTCCCAATTATCACCTACAAGCCAGATGTCAGTGGGGAGAATGACTCTGTGCCAGAGGGTCCCCTCCACTTTCTGGACTGAGCATTCTGCCACCGGCTGCTGCAGCCCCAGGGGTGACCTTGAGCCAGGCTGCCTTTATCACACTCTCGAGCTGGCGTAGCCAGGCAGCAGTGCTCACTGAGACCCTCCCCAAGAGGGGAGCTGCCCCAAAGGCACAGGGTGGCACTGCGGGTTCCAGGCTGCACTCCGGGCGTGGTGGCAGCTTGCGAGGAGCAGAAGGAACTGGCCAGGTAGGCTGAGTCACGGAGCTTTGTGAGAGGTTAGAGGCAGCAGCTGCCATTCTCCAACACCTACTGTGTACCCACAGACAGAGGAGTGTTTCCACGTCTCATTTAATCCTCCTCCCAAGCCCTCCAGGGTGGCTGGACATTTTCATCCTCATTTTGCAGAGGGGGACCCCAGACTGTGGCACGTTAGTGATATTCCTAAGGCCACACGTCATCCAGGACCGAGCAGGGTGTGGAATGCGGAGGTGAGCATGAAGCCCAGGGACCGTTCTCCAGGAATCAGTCCCCCATGCAAGGCCAGACAGGTGCCCCGGCGCAGAGAGCTGTGGCAGCGATGGTGGCGCCGCGGGCATGTGCTGTCTGGGAGGCAGCGGTAGCGCCAGGGCCTGAGGGAGGGATGGTCAGGTTTTCCCAGGTGCAGGAGGTGATGGGAAGGAACAGGCCGAGCAGGAGAAGCTGTGTTCGCCAAAGCCCCAAGGGAAAAATACAGGAGTCACAAGAGGAGGAAATTGAGTGGTGGGGAGGACAGAAGTCCTGAGCGATCCTGGCGCTTCCGCACGTGGCCCTGCGTGGTGTGCTGTGCTCCCCGCTCTCAGGAACTGCAAGTAATAAAGCGTCTTCTACTCGGTCACTGTTATGAATTAAATCCAGGTACAAGCAAAACACGGGCCATGAGCATTAGCTTCAGAGAATGGGGGGACAGAGATAGATGGTCCAGTTCACAGTAGAGAGGCCACAGTTTGCACACCTGCGTTTGCTGCTTCTGGTAGAAACAGCACCCATGTTTCCTTTGGGGTACCTTGCCTTTCCCAAAACTCGGTCCTACTTTTCACTGAGCAGCTACACCAGAAACTTGACAGCTTTTCCTGCTGAAATTAAGCAGAATCCTCACCAGTAGGCTGCCCCGCCAGGCCTAGAGAAGGTTCCCGTACTTACTCTGTTAGTTCTCTGTCGCTGCTGTAACACATTACCGCCAACTTCGTACCCGAAAACAAAACAAATTTATTATCTTATAATTCTAGAGGTCAGAAGTCTGGAATCAGTGTCAGTACGTTTGCGTCTTTCTGGAGACTAGGGAAGGACAGGTTGCCAGCTTCTAGAAGCCTCCTGTACCCCTCAGCTCACAGCCTCATTCTTCTAAGACCCTTTTGATGACATCGGGGCCACCAGATCATCCCGGATTGTCTTCCCAGCTCAGAGTCCTTCACCGAATCACACCCGCAGAGTCCCCTCTGCCGTGTAAAGTGCCACAGTCACGGGTTCCGGGGATCAGGATGTGGCCGTCTTTGGGGGCTGTTGTTCCGCCTACCCACCCTTACTCACCAAATCGAGGCCCGTGGCTACTAACTGGTGGAGCCACAAGATTTTGGAGCCTGCGATGCTTGTTGTCACTGCTCTGTCACAGCCTGGTCCCCACGTGGGAATGGCCGCTTAGTAAAACGCCGACTCTCATCTGCCCACAGCAGCCGGAGGAGTTAAAGGATCGTGCGGCGGACGGCGGCGGCCTCCAGCTCTGCCAGTGACTCACCGAGGAAGTGGGGCGATGCATTTAGCTCTGCCTTAGTTGCTTTCCTCAAAGAGGATGAAAACCTTTTTTCCAGGGGCGTTTGGGGATTTAGCATTGATAGAAAATGACGCTGTTACCCTTCAGAGGAAAAAGCCCTAAAGAAGTAAGGAAATCATGTAATTATCTTTATTTAATTGCTCTGACTATGACCCCACATCAGTCCTATTTTTGAGCAAGCATTCGCTGGCCACTTCCAGTAGACCTGCCGCGGTGCCGGGCTTGTTGAACTGCCACTGCCACCCCACGAAGAAAACAGCATCCTTATTTTACAGATCTAGAAACTGAGGCTCGGAGGAGGAGGTGAAAATTGCTAATCATTTGCCCAGAGTCAACACAGCTAGTAAGTGTCAAAAGTAGAGTCTGAACATCAAGTTCAGGGCCACCATCTCACTCCTGGTTCTTCATAGGGACTTGCTGTGTAGCCCCAGGAAGTTAGGCGCACACACAGTGGAATCTGAATCTAAAAAGGCAGGAATTGAAACACTGGAACATTCCAGTTCCCTCTGGAAAAGGAGAGGAGCCCGCTGAGTCCCAAGTAGTTCTGTAGCCCCCCCACTTCTAAGATAACTTCCCTGGGTGTTGCCCCCAGAGCCGGCTGAACACCCACCCCTCGGAGAAGCCCTCCCTTCCCCCCTCGGCCCTTACGCTGTTCGGGACATGACACAAGCAGACCCTGATCAATTCCTTTCGATTCCTGCTTCTCTCCCCCTCCTCTCACCTCCTGTGCTCACCAAGACCCTTTCCTGGCACCCGGGTATCGCCGGGTTTCCATGTGCATGGACTGTGGGGTCCGATCTCTGCAGATTTTTAAAGTTCGATGTTGTCCGTGAGTAGGAACATGTATATATTTCTTCCTTCGTGGGGATAAGGGGTTGGAAAATAGAGGAAAGAGATAAAGGCTGTAGGAAAGCCGTGTAACTGAAGACACTGAGGCCCTAGGGGCCCGTGCGAAGGCCCAGAACAGAGTGAGACCGCGGCTTCCTGTAGGTGAAAGGCGCTTGGAGACCAGAGGCCTCCGGGGTTCATCATCTGCAGTGTTAACCCCCCGAGTGTCCGTAAACCGCCATCCTAGGAGGAAGAGGAGTGCAGGGGCTGGGAGAGGAACAAGTGTGTTTCAGAGTGCGTCGGCAAAGGCGAGGCATGGAGTGGATGGATCCGCTTGGGCTCGGGTTTCTTCTACCTGTTGGGTGTATCTGGGAGAGCGGCTGGGAAGGAGGAACACAGGTTGGGCCCCCTGGATAATACAGGGTGATGTCCCCATCCTAAGATCCTTAATTACACCCGCAGAGTCCCTTCTGCCATGTAAGGTAACATAGTCACAGGTTTCGAGGATTAGGACATGGATGTCACTGGGAGTTGGGGCAGCCACAGAGGTAAGGTTGGACACACTGAACTTTCCTTTCTGTCCAAACCAGGGGCTCTTTACCTGGGGTTCAGGGCCCCCAGGTATCCCCGGCCTAGTCTTCAGGGGGACCTGCAGAGTGTGGGAGAGGGGACTTTCCTGGGAGCGGGTTCTCTTGGGGAAGGAGATGTTTCTTCTGTGGCTCCAGGGAAGACACTGCTGGGTGGGCAGGAAGGGGCCTCGCTCTCCATTCCAGGAGCAAAAGCTCAAAACTAATTCCCACAGCAGTCGAAAGCCAGTTTGCAGACTCTCGTGTTACGTGTCTGGGACATAGGACACGAGATGCTCTCCCTAGAGAGCTAAATACTGCCGCACCGTGCGTGGCCACCGGGTGCCAGCATCAAGACAGGATGTCAGTTCCTACAGTGGACATTGGAACTTGGGCCACCTCGTACGGGGCGGTCACGCTCTGTGTCGTGCTCTTCCAGTTGGCTCAAGGCCACCGCAGAAAGCAGAGTCGCGTGGTTCCTTTCGCTGGAGGAGCTGAGACCTGCCCCCAGGGTTCTCTTGGAGACACAGTTACAGCCATAAGAGGAGTTAAGGATGAGCTCTATTTATTTTAGGGTGGCTTTTAATTTAGTTTAATCAGAGTTACTCATAAATTATCGATTAATTACCTTCTGCTGTTCCGCTGAATCCTCTCAGCCATGGAGGCAGCTTCGCTGCGCGGTGACTGCCAGCCGCCGTGATCGTAGGGCGCTGTCAGCGTTTAATCAGCGGTACTTATTAACGCGGCATTGATGTGTGGTCGCCGTCCCTGCGCTATCCATCACGCGTGAGCAGCCAGCGCCGTCGCGGGCTCCATTGCTCTTTGTCACATCAGCCAGCCCCCGGGCTTTCCGGCCAAGCGTGTGCTCACTTCCCACTAAGTGGACGCTCTGTCTCTTCCGTGCAACCCAATTTCTGTCATTGTCGACTTGAACACTCGCCACCTTTTGAACCGCAGTCCGGAACGGCTGGACTGAGCATCACCGGTCCTCCCAGTGGGTGTGAAAGCCCAGGAAACTTGTCCATGACCAGATGTCATGGCTTGGTGCGCATGCGCGTGCGCAAGAGAATTTCACAGTCGCAAACACAGATTGTGACCCAGAGAAAGCAGAAGTGATCTTTTGGCGTTCTTTGGCTTACTGTCTATTTCTGGAAATGAATCTCATGTTGAAAACTCTACCAGTAGAAGAGTATGTTGTATTAGTAAAACAGATCTCATGGTTTCCTCTCTCTCTTTTCAGCCTCTATGGCAGACACATGCAGGCAAACCCAGAACCTCCAAAGAAGAACAATGACAAATCCAAAAAGATCAGCCGGAAACCCCTGACAGCCAAGAACAAATAAGGAGCTGGCATCAGTTGGACTTCCGGCCTCTCCTGTCACCAACACTGTCCTCTCTTGCTCTGTGTCTCAAGTAAACACAATAGTGTGGCCTTTCTTTTTCTCTTTTCACTCTGTTGTTCTAGTACTTTCCACCTTACCTTTTAGATTCTTTTTGGTAGGTGGTAGATTGTTATAAGGTCTTAAAACCTTTTCCATTTGTTTCTTTAAAATTGCCCAAGGCAGGGAACAAAGCTCTTATTCAACTGCAAATTCCATAGTAGGCACAGGTTTCAGTTCCTTGAATAGACATCACAAGGTTGCTTATTATCAAAAGAATAATTAAAATCATGTAACCATTTAAATGTCACAGGTAACACTTTTCACTCTTTCTGTTTATTCACATTATTTTGCTTTATTAAAAGCCGCCTTTCACCACCAAGATATTATGTTAATTTAACTTACAAATGATTTTAATAAAATCTTGAATTTGTATCACATGTTGCTGCTTGACTAGAATGAGGGGTGGACATATTTTCGTTTACTTTTTTTCCCCAAAAATTTCTTATCCAGTTTTTATTGGTTATAGATGATAAACTCCAAAACTTTTCATGAAAGAAATGCAAAATTAAATCAGAGCTCGTTTCTTCTCACATTAATTTGTCAGATTTTTTTTTTTTTTCTTTGAAGACTGTTTCTAAATTAGGAAGCAGCAGAAAAACACATCTCTAGAGATTCTGCCAAAGGATTTTGGAAAGTAGCATTTCTTCGCCAAAGAAATGGTGACTTCTGCCAGGGGCTGGTAGTCAAGAGCTGTGAAACGATGAGAGGGGAAAAAAAAAAAAAAATAAGTATGTTTTTTGTCACTGCAGAAAATCTGCTCCTATCCAAGCATTCTCCTAAGCGACTTTAATGCCAAAGAAGTTGTGTAAATGTGCACACACGACCAGTGTGGAAACTGCTGTGGCAGAGTCATTAAACAACCAATTGTTTAACATCTGTGAGAGGCAGCTTTCCTTCTCCTCCACTGTGATATATAGGGAAATGAAAATAAATCCAAGCCGAGGTTTTGTGCTTACGAAGAGGGCCGCCAGCGCCAGGATGCCGCCCAACAAAAGGTGTGTGAAGATGCAGTAGATTCTCAAATGGATTGTGGGAGAGGAGTCTACAGTCACCTCTGCTTCATCTCCTTCCAGCTTCCCTGTTGAGCTCCCAAGACCACTGGGACAGGGACTGTATAAAAAAGCCAAGATCAAAACAAAACAAAAAGTCCCCAGTTCATGAGGAAACAGACTTTGCATTTCAATCTGAGAGGCCACAGAGCAAGCTCTAAACTTTCTGCTTCTGGACAACTTCCTGATAGAACGTGAGCTGCGAGAAGAGGCATTCCCGGGTGCCCTCGCCCGTTTGGGGGTAGACCCGATGTCATCTTTCTAGCTGCAATGTTTCCCTCTGCCCAGATTTTTCTAATTGATTTTCTTAGCTTGTGAAATTGCAGGAGGAAGAACAATGAATGCCCCTGCTGTTGTGGTTGATTGGAAAGACTTGTAAACTAGCAGCAAAGCATTAGTAAAAATACAACAGTATTAAGGGCCCTTGTGAGTCTAATTTTTTTCAAAAGGTGAAAACTCAAGATAGAAATATGGGCAGCGCACATAAACTCACAGGGAGGAAACATGAAGGAGTCAAAGTCTCACTAGTAATCAAAAATATACAAATCAAAGCAAAAATAAGCTGTGCGTAACAATGAGAAATGTGCAGATATTTTTTAAGGCAGTATTTAAGTGCAAGAGGAGTAACATGAGATAAACATTTTTATGCATCACTGTAGGGCATATAAATTTCCAGAAAGGTGGTAGCAGTTTGACAATATGTGTAGCAAAACTTTAAAATTGTACACTGGGACCCAGAATTCTTATTTCTAGGAATTTATCCTAAGGAAATTATCAGAGATGCACACCAAGAGCTGTGTTTGAGAATTGTCCTTACAACATTCTATACACAATAAAAACATGGGGAAAAACCAGATACTCACGATGGAAGAATGACTCAGTGAATTGTGGCGTGTTCACATGACAGACTTTTATGAAGACGTTAAAAATATCTAAGGGCAAAGGGAGATAATTATATCCAGCTAAATAGGAAAATCAAGATTTAAAAAACTATACAAGGGTGCTCCCCGTTGTATAAAAGGAAAATTGTGTTTGTAATATGTATGCATAAAAAATTAAAATGGAACACAATTTTAATGCAGATAAATTTTATCTGTATGGTGGACTAACGCTTTTCCTAATTTCCTTTTTTTGTACTTATTCTGTACTTTAAATTTTTTATAATGAGCATGTATACTTTTATCAGAAAGTATTAAATATTTTTTCAAAATGAAATTAGTGTATTATGGTATATTATACAATCCAGAAAATACATATATTTAAATGCAAAGCATACTATAAAATGTCAGGGTGGTTCTCTCTTTTTTTTTTTCTTTTCTTTTCTTTCGTTACCAAAATGAGTTGCACATCTTTTCATACACTGGTTTTGGTTACTTTATATCTGGATTAATAAATCCACAGTTTGAAAGGTGACCTTTTCACAAAAATAATGTGACCTTCTTAGCACGGTGATGAAATCGGTTGTCGCCAGTGATGCTTTGCAGTCTAGTCAAATGGAGGCACAATAAATATTTGATTGGATTTAGTATGAATTGGATATTTATATTAATTTGGATTGTGTGAAGCTAATATTAAGAAGGAGGGAAGGAAAAAATTCTAAGACACTCCTTTAGGGTTGTCTGCGTTGTAATTTGAGTCCACTTCATCAAGGCAGAGTTTTACTAAAGGAAAAACAATCTT